GACAAGGTTATATTGTGTTTGTATTTTGCGGTGGTAAAACCTGCCGATTTGATGGATAAGGTCGGCGATAAAAATGCATATATTCACAAGAAGCTTGGGGCCAAAATGTTTTTGGACAGCAAATTTTGCTGACGGCCAAGACGAAAAAATGCAATGCTGTGACCCCATGCTATGCAAAATGCAATGCAAATGCAGTGACCCCATGTTGTGCAAAACATAACATGGGGTCTCCATACATAGATGTTATGTGTCCATGGTAACAAATTTCGTCACACAACACATGCGGTGTAGGTGTACTTTCCTACCTAACGTTAGAAAAAATCATTGCACACCATTCGTCGTGTTTAAGGCGGTACAAATCGTAAATAATCTCAAAACAGGTAGAATCATGCTCCTACCTTTGAATTTCAATAACTTCGATGGCGGGCTCCCGAGCGCCGCGCGCACCGCACCGCCTGGACTCCCCAGCGCCGTTTATGCGTTGCCGTTGCGTAAATACAATATTTCTGCTTACCAAGACCTGTACAAAATGTACGGGACCAAGGTAAACCATTCGTCGTGTTTAAGGCGGAACATATCGTAAGTAATTGCAAAACAGATAGAATCATGCTCATACCCTCGAATTTTCATAAATAAGATAGCGAGTTCCCGAGCGCCGCACGCACTGCACCGCACCGCCTCGACTCCCAAGCGCCGTTTCTGCGTTGTTGCGAAAGCACAATATTTCTGCTTATCAAGAACCATAAAACATGTACGGGACTAAGGTAACAATAATAAAGCAACCAAAATCGTTTCTTATCGAGTATAGGTACATTTATGAAACACACAGGTCAGAATAGTCCAGAACATATCCTAAAGTAGCCTAACCTAACCAAACCTAACCTAACCTAACCTAACCTAACCTAACCTAACCTAAGCTAGCCTAACCTATCCTAGCCTAACCTAAACTAACCTAACCTAACCTAACCTAACCTAACCTAACCTAACCTAGCCTAACCTAACCTAACCTAACCTCCCCACCCTATATCCCCTTCAACCCAGCATCCCATAGCTAAGCTAAGCTAAGCTAGCCTGACCTGACCTGACCTGACCTGACCTGACCTGACCTGACCTGACCTAACCTAACCTAACCTAACCTAACCTAACCTAACCTAACCTAACCTAACCTAACCTAACCTAACCAAACCTAACCTAACCTAACCTAACCTAACCAAACCTGAGCTTAGATATAAGCTCATAGACCTTATGAGCTTAGATATAAGCTAATAGACCAGAACCTAAGCTTAGCTAAGCTAACCTAACCTAACCTAACAAACCTATCCTAACCTAACCTAACCTAACCTAACCTAACCTCCCCACCCTATATCCCCTTCAACCCAGCATCCCATTGGCGTCCATGTTCCATGCCATATATAGGTGCCATATAGTGAGCTTTTATTTAGCTGTCATGTTCTCATTTTGCTTTACATTCCCCACCCAATCTCCCTGCAACCCATGGTCCCGTTGGCGTCGAGGATCAAATTTCATGGATTCTTGTTACCTTGGCCCGGTACATTTTTATGGTTCTTGATGCTGCTTGATGCACAGTAATGTTGTGACCCGCGCAGTAATGGCGCCGGTGTCGCGGGTGCTGTGTGTGTGCGGCGCTCGGGAGTTCGCCATCGTAATTATAAAAAATTGAAGGCAAGATTATGAATCTACCTGTTTTGTGATCATTTACGATATGTCCTGCCTTAAACACGACGAATGGTTTACTTTGGCCCCGTACATTTTGTAGAGTTCTTGGTAAGCAGAAATATTGTATTTACGCAACGGCACCGCATAAACGGCGCTAGGGAGTCCAGGCGGTGCGGTGCGCGCGGCGCTCGGGGTTCCGCCATCGAAGTTATTGAAATTCGAAGGTAGGAGCATGATTCTACCTGTTTTGAGATTATTCACGATATGTCCTGCCTTAAACACGACGAATGGTGTACAATGATTTTTTCTAACGTTAGGTAGGAAAGTACACCCTGACCACACAAGCAAACGTTTCCATAAATACTTTTTACCGTACTCTGCTGCACACTGGTATCTTTCCTAGATTTTAATCCAGCCCGGTGACCAAACTTATCCTCTGATTTTTAGTTGCCCGACTTGATAACAGATCGGAGACAAAGCAGTGTATTTCCTATGGTCGGATTGGTCGGCTGATTCGCTGTTTTTAACAGCCGACCCTCAGTGTCCAAACTAGACAGTATAAAGTACTGAAACAGATCTAGATATGGGGATTCGTCTGGCTGCAAGGGCGTGTTTTGATAATTGCGATGCGACTGATATGAGGTGGGCGGTGACTTTCAGTGCACTGCAACTTTGCAATCGGCATTCGCATTGCAGTGTCATGAACACCCGCCCAGGATTCGATTTCTGGCTTTGTTTACTTCGTTGGCTGTGCCGCGATTCAGCATCCTGTTCTCAGCGGGTCCCGACGAGTCCTGTTCTCCATCCTGTTCTCAGCGGGTCTGAAGACAATGCTGGTTATTTCCCGATGATAACACCCCTACGGTAACAGGAAAGCTCTGCAAGCTATTCATGCTGCAGCGCTCATTCATAGTGCATATTTTCCTTGCACATGTGAGCATGGCATTGCATGGATTCAAATATGGCATGTTTCATGACTGTTTTTGCTAACACTGAATTCTAAAATTGTCCTCATGGAACCATTAGCATAATCACTGTGTACATTTAAGTACAGGCTGTGAAGGCAGACAACCTGCCTTATACGCAGTCTTCACCGATAGTAGAAATTAATATATTTTGCGTGGTGGTGGCATAATGACAGGAGTGCCAATTTTTATTCATGGTTAGGGAACATAGCAACCCATGGATCATGGTCAGTAAATTAAGTCCAGAGAAGGTTTTGTGTCATAGGAAGCTTTAATCTCATATCTTGTGTGATTTTACATCTAGAAATGTTGGCTGGGGGAGGAAGCAATTAGCATTGAGGGGGATCAACCCAACATAGATATTGGGTGGTGCCCCAGAAAATAATTTGAATTGGTACTCCTGCATCATATATGACAGACATCACAGAAAACCTTAGGTTTCCATGCTACTTGCATGCAAAGGGCAATTTGGGCTTGCTGACTGAATGCCTACCAATGTTTAGATGTTAGTAATTAAATCTGTCATTCCGCTGCAGCAGTTAATACTTTCATGGCCCGGAATGCAGATTTTGGCCTCGTGGAAGCCTTCATATCTAACATCATTCCTAGTGCCGCTTGCTACTGGTTTGGAATCTGCCATGCATTTAGCTGCCCTGGCTATCGAGGCCTTTCATTGCTTTTTTTGCGGTCGACGAAAGCAAATCCAGTCGTGGATCAAGTTTAAACGTGAGGCCCCGACGAGTCCGGAGGGTGAAAGAAGATTTCTATTGTGATTGGACTATCTCATATGCTTAGAGCATGTGCGCCGGCTTTTCCAACAGCAGCCATTGTTCCGACATTTGTTCAAGGGCAGTGTATGACTGAACGTCTGGGTTATGTGCATAATATTGAAAACTGCAGTAATGAAAGACACTTTCGGTGATACGCTGATTACCGATGACGCTACCGGGCATGAACTGAATGACCATTTTGTCCTATTGTATTGCGTTACGCTGCTGGCGACAATTTTTCCTCCGAAGATGTGGTCGGCGACGAAACGTATACTTTTACCACCCCTGCCCGCGCCAGCCCTAGGTCGCCGCGCGGTGTTGCACAGTCAGATAAACACAGGTGTTATATGTGAACTGATGATGACGACACTGGACAGTGCTGGTAAGAAAGGGGGGGCAAGGTGAGGGGGGGGGGGGCGTGCAATAGCCGAGGGTCCCTATTAATATTGGGGGAAGGTGGAAAGCAACATCTTGTTTCGATTTATGTCGGCAAATCTTGTTGATTTTGGCGAGTAAATCTCCATTATGTGCTGTGCTGTTCTGTGCTATCCTCTTCTTTTCTACCCTGTCACGTCATGTCAGCTCCGGGCCTGTCTCGATTTATCTTGTCTCCTGTTCTGCCCTGCCATATCCTGTCCTGTGCTATTAACTATCCCTTCTTCCTGTTCTACCTTGTTCTCTTTCATTCTGCCCCGGATGCTAACCCGTTGCCTAACCCGTTCCTATCCTATTGCCTCACGTCATCCATCTCCTGTCTTCTGGCTTCCATGTCATGCCCAGTGAGGTAAGAACGTCTGTGGAGATTGGGGACAGAAAGCTTGATTTGGCCCGTTCTTTATATGTACTGCGTCCCAATGCATTTGTGTCTTAGCCAATGTTGTCTACAGAATACTTGCCTTTTAAATCTTCCAATCCAAAATATCATTTCAGGTCAGGTTGTGTCGTCTAGATTCCAGTGTCACTCCTCTAATCCTGACTTGTCCCCGCCATCCCCCCCAAAAAATGATAACGCCCACGCCCAAGAAAGTCAAAAATTATTTCATATCGCGTTTCCTTAAACATGTTGATCAAAATCAATGAATGCTTCAAATAATAAGGAGCTTCAAATAACTTCAGCTCCTGGTTTTTCGGCATTATGAGTTAAAAGTTTGTTTGCAGAATAAGCAGCCTTTAATGTACCTTGGGATGCTGGTTATTCGTCGTTTTAGTGGTTAGTATCAATTATATTACCTGTACTTAATATTTCGACCTGTTACTCGAATTGTACACTATTCTCTCCGGTCCTGTTCCGTTCTACTGATGGGTCAACAGCATCTACTTCTCCACGCCAGTCACCTCTGTGTTCAATGTGCATTATTATGTGCGTCAATTTTGTGCTAACAGCAGTAAATGCCTGGGAGCACAGTTACAAAACTTTCCTAATTTATGCCTATGCAGCACATTTCGTTAGCGCAAGCGTTTTTCTATCTATAGAAATAGATCTGCTTGCTCGTGTAGTTGTATGGCCTTGGTCCGTTTGTAAGCCGATTGCGGCCGAACTTTCCTCCTTCTGCGGCGCATGTCATGAGGCGCCGCGCCGGCAGTCGGCCGGGAGGACACCGAGTGAACGCGCAGTAGGGGCTGGCGGCGGCGGAGACCAGCGGCTGAACACGACACTGCAGCAAGCTGCGGCTGTAGCAAGTACGGTGCTTCTTAACTGACATAGACGTTCACATCAGGTGTGCATTATCTGCTTAAGATGCTAGCCTTAGTAGGCGATATCCCTGTAAACTATCCCTGTGTCTTGCATCAAAGACTGCGCGTAAGCTTCCATCATGCAATGCTGTCTCAGTTAGTGCTGTTTTTAACACCTACGCTGTCATCTTCGGATAATCATGTAGCTGTATGTGAATGTGTCTGGCTCACGCCCGGTGCTTGACTGGCATTCTGACTCGCCTCGATGGTGTGAGGCTAATGGGTCACATTCAACACAGTACTGTCACCGGGCGGCCGATGGCCCCAAGCGGCAATGTTTGCCATGTGCCGACCTTACTTGCCAGATAAAAGTCATGCCGATCGTGTTTGTCACACATAATCTGTACACGCTGCACATAAACTGTACACGCTAAATATAAATGTTTAGATCACACATAGACAACGTTCTTTATTGAAAACCCCGTTATTTGAATGTGGACCATGTGTATTGCGTATAGACTGCACATCACATATGACCAGTATATGTCAGGCATAACCTGTGTACATCACATATAGACGGCGTATGTCACATGACCGTGTACGTCACATAAATAGGGCATGTTCACCGTCGTAGTGACGCTGTTGTTTGTGCTACAAATCAGCCGTTGACGCCATTTGAAATACCATGAAGGCAACGCGAAGACCTCTTTAGTCGCGTGCGAAACGCAAGCGCCGCAGGACGGCAAAATAGCTGACAACGGTCATGCAGGCATTATGGCAACAGTTAAGATAAAGATCATTGTGTATGTTAATTATGTATGTGTAGATCACTGATAAGCGGCGTTAGTCGCAGGGAGCTGTGGCAGCGGCGGATGGTCTACTGGTAGACAGCATAGCTCACACGGAGCTGCGGACGATTCGCTGATAAACGGCGTTAGTCGCAGGGAGCTGTGGCAGCGGCGGACGATCAATGAAGACGATCCAGTTTTGAGTAATGAAGTCTCAGGCTGACCGAGTTGTCATATCAATCAACCGGAACTGGTATAGTTTCAGCGGTCCCGGTTGGCCCGGCCTGTGGCCGCACTGTGTTCACGTTTGTCGTGCTAGCCTACATTCCAGTAGTGCTGTTCCCGTCGCCGCGTAGGTTTCAGGACCGGATAGCAAACCTATTGAGGCAATCCTGCAGTAGATAAGACAGTAGTATTAGCTTTATTCCTCGGAAAAACCAGGACAATGGAGATATAGTCAGACTGATGTTTCGACAACATGCCTTTATCGAAACAATAGCAAAAGCGAATTCAAAATTGACGATAGATAGGCAATTCAAAATGCCGAAATTCAAAATAGTCAATTTTGAAGTCACTTCTGCTATTGTTTCGTTAAAAGCACGTTGCCGAAATATGAACTCAACTATGTCTCCATATTCCCGGTTTTTCCGAGGAATAAGACTAATAATACGGTCTTATCTATGTGAATGATGCTCCTCGCTAATGCACTGAACAACTTACGTATTCCTGCAGTATCTTCAGGCCCTTAAAATGGAAGCCCCTTGATGAGGCTTCTGCGTAGATGCGCTATCACTACAATTTTGTCTGCTCATTTGGTTGAAAAAGAAAAAAAGGTTAATGCTGTAAAACGTTGAAAAGCTCGGGTTGAAAACTGATTTAGGTCTCGAAGACCAGGGCACGCCGTGACGTAGGGGAAAAAAATAATTCTGACGCAAAACAAAACGGACTACTTTACTGCCGAAAGGTTGGTCGACATGTGCAGGCTGTGACGCGCTATTGTACGCAGACCGTGGACTTGTGCCTGCTGGGGCGTGCTGTTGTACGCAGACCGTGGACTTGTGCCTGCTGGGGCGTGCTATTGTACGCAGACCGTGGACTTGTGCCTGCTGGGGCGTGCTGTTGTACGCAGACCGTGGACTTGTGCCTGCTGGGGCGTGCTGTTGTACGCAGACCGTGGACTTGTGCCTGCTGGGGCGTGCTGTTGTACGCAGACCGTGGACTTGTGCCTGCTGGGGCGTGCTGTTGTACGCAGGCCGTGGATTTATGCAGGCTGTGGCGTGCTATTGTGCACAGAACGTGGGCTTGTACAGGCAGTAGCGTGCTATTGTACGCGGACCGTGTACTTGTGCCGGCTGTGGCGTGCTATTGTACACAGAACGTGGGTTTGTGCAGGCTGTAGCGTGCTACTGTACGCAGCCCGTGGATTTGTGCAGGCTGTGGCGTGCTATCGTACGCAAAGCGTAGATTGCGTGACATTTGTTAAGGGCTGATGTCAAGAGCAGATGGAAGCCTGAAGGTGACGATTTGGTGTAAGAAAATGCGCCGCCCACAAATCATTGCGCTATCGCATCACTGCCTCACGCAGAAGGCAGTGGGCCGTTTATTTACGGGGTTGGCTAACGTCACTTTCTCCAAAACTGGTCTCAAATGCAACACACCGTGACCGAAACCGAACAACACTGGGCAATGATAATGCAAACGTGCATATCCCAGCTTACTGTGACCAGCAATCACCAAAAATATTTGCGTTTTGTTTCCGATCGGTCACCGACAGTCGTCGAATACCTTTACTATCGACCAAATAAAAACATATTTTCGATTACAACTGACTGGCGTTGCCATGCAGCCGATGCCGCGGCAGCCGATGCCGCGGCAATCCAATTTGTAGATCTGTTCCCAAACGCTTAACACGCGCTCGGGTGCGGAAGTCAGTATGACCGGCTAGAAGACTTTCCGGAATGGTTTCCTTTCTAGGAAGCGCTCAATCTGATGCAACAACGGGGCGTTAGAGGACGCCATACATCTCTAGATGCTTTCTCAGGCAACACAACAATTGAATGCACAGGGCCAGGTATGAAGGTCAGACGCAGATCAAAACCAACGCCCTTTATCACTCTAAGGCTTGCTGTATGGGGTAGATTTTGGTGCTCAGTTCAAATTTACTAATGGAAGGGTCAGAACAGGACACTGACCTAAAATGACCCAGGTCAACACTTTTTTTTAGTAAGATACTGCCTAGCATTATCTTTATTGCTTATTCAAATGCAAAACCCAAAGCACTCTTATATAATTTTGGTCACCATGACCTTCGAAAGGTCAGACAAGGTAACTGAGCTCAAGTGAGCATGTGACCTTTGCTTAGAACAGGTATCTAGGTTCTGAGGGTACTTAGCTTTACCTGGAGTTTAACTAGTTCAACTTTACTAGAGTTTAACTTTACTAGCTTAACCAGGAGTTTTACCATGTTTGACATTTGCCCCGGAGGTTATGGCCTATGGATCTCAAGCTTTAACCCAAGTTAGTTCACGTGCTGGCCAACACACCCTGTGTAATGTGGTGTCTCTACTCGGTTAGTTCCTGAGATCTTAGCGAGGTCAAATTGGCCCCCACCCGAGCGAAGGGCACCCAACCGGCCACCCGGTCGCGTGTTAGGGTTCGATGCACCTGTGTCGAATAAATTCATGCGCTGATATGCACCGTATGTATTGGCTTCCGAAGAAAATGGTCCCATTCAGTATAATGTAATAGTGCATCATATAGTATAGACCATATCATGTTGTATCATAACTAGTATGGTCATGTACATGCTTGTTGCGATCACCTCTGCGTCACCCTGCTCGCTGCACGTCTCCAAGCTCAACAGGCGTCCTCCACGTCCAGTTAATAATGCCTTAAGCTGCAACGTAATTTATAATTTTTGTCGGTAACGAGCTTCAAGCATCAAGTGAACTTCGGGTGAAAACCACCATGGACTTTACGTGGCCATGTTTGTGATATAGAATTCAAGTCGATGCAATCTTAAAAAACTGTGATGGTAGCGTAGGTCTGCGCATAACATTCATAGCCCACGTGACTGCAGTGATGCATGTCCTTCTTTTTAGATTGAAGTACACTCCCATCGACAACTGAAGAATGAGGATCACCAGCATAACCAGGATTATCTGTCTTACTCTGGTACGTATACGATTGGTCATCTGGTGCAGATTCGCCTCAACTCTAAATGGCGAGCTTTGTGCTAAGCATTGTACTAACGGCATGATGCATGTTTTCAACCACTCTTGTGTAAGACAGGAGCGCAGGAGGTTCCAATAAGTGGAAAGGTCATTTGCTGTGCCGGCCATCTCCTGTGCCGGCCGTTTCCTGTGCCAGCCGATCGCAGGACGAGAGCGTGCATGCAAACAAATTTCTTGCATCTGCCACAGGTGATCCTGGAGTTGACCGCGTCGTCACCTCTCCCCCAGAGTGAGTCGCCGCTGTTTCCACATGGCCTAAACAGAAAGCCATGTCGATCATTGCGGGCAATAAAAGGCCTTAACGAGGTGCAATAATGCCTTGACACAATCGGCGCAGCTTAAGTCAGTGTGGATCAGCATGCCTGCTTTTTTCAAAACGAGTTATGTGCAGTATGTCCCAACTGATAATTATCAACGTGACTGCAGTGATGCACGATTATGCGCGAGGTTGACATTGTTTCCTAACGTCGGCCGTCCGCGGGCTGAGCTTTGTGTTCTCCCGTCCACAGGCGGGGTAAGCGCGGGCCTCCGGCTCCGGCCCCCACCAAACCAGTTCTGGGTCTCACTCTGGAAATCCCAACGCCTCAGCCTTGGCCGCCGCAGAACAGGACGTCCAAAAAGTGCCGATTCCCCAGCCGGCAATCCCGTCGCTAAAACATTCGGCAACAGGACTGAAACGCCGCCAGTGCCCTCAGGTTTCCTGACTAGAGTAAACAACGCTCTGTGCTTTTTAGCCGTTTTCAGTTCATCCATAGCATTTTTAACCTGGTCTTCACTAGTTTGGCAGATGTGTTTTTGATGACTACGTAACCAGTATGACAGGGAACTTAAACTCGGCTGCCGTGGTATGAAACACGCACCCACGGCAGTGGTAGATTCAAACCCCCAGCAGTCACGCCTATGTTGTGTCAGTCAGTCACAGCCAGCCGGACTGTAAGCCAACGCCAAACTGGCGAGGCCTGGACGCCGAACACCGGCTGGTTAGCACGGCTTGCCACCGGACGGTGAGTATAGAAAACAGCCGGGAACCGGCTCAGCGCTGGACTGGCTGAACAAATCTGCATATGCGGATCCTCTCCACGCATTTAATATTCCGACATGCTCGCTGCATTGCCCCTCCGACCCACACATTTTATGTCACTTGTACAATGTGCCAGTGACCTGGACCTTCCCAGTACGTGAATTATGTCCTAAAAAGACCGCTTACCTGTGACATATGTCCACAGGGCTTAAAGACACCAAATGACCTGCTGACCTGGAATAATCGGCCCAACCTGGCTACGCTGGCCCTGGGGAACTTGGCCGTCCAGCAATTAGGCCTAATGCAGAACAACCCGTCGAGATTCTCGGGCTTACAGGCGAGATTCTCGCAGAGCTCAGACACGAACTCATCGCAGAGCAACTCGCCAAACAACCGACCAAGGTCCCAGGAGATCACCCGGCCGAGCTCCCAGCAGAGTTTCCAGCCGAGCTCCCAGCAGAGTTTGTACAACTCTGCACGGAGCCAGCCGTTCCCCCGCCGGCCGTTCTCCGGATACACTCTGCGTTGGTTCGGCTAGTCCTCCAGGACTGCTACCGAACTGTGGACAGAGTCGCCGATCCAAACACTGCGCAGCCAGACGGACCGGCCGGGACAACTTACAAAAGGCGTGCAACTGCAGGTACGCGCAAATGCAGCTGTGGTTACGAGAGGAACTACAGTGGGAGAAAGCCGAGTCAAAATACGAGCCAGGTACTCGTGCATGCAGCAGATGCACTAGCAGAACTGGATGTTGAAAGCATATGCGAAACAAATAAATCCTGCTTGCGATGCGAATAAACAAAGGCTGCTTAGCTTTGTATTCTGCTTCCAACGTGCATGTGGACAGATAGAGAAGTACAACACTTACGATAGATCAAATTTACTCCGACAAAGTCAGGGTTCGGCGCCAAGTTAGAACTGACGGAAGCGGAATGTGCGTTCCTTTTTTCTTCAGGATGAATGGAGCTAGTGAAAATGCGCTTTAAGCTTTATAGCCATCGGCATTCTGAATATTTCCAAATGCCATCTTGGGGATAAAGTGAATTTGATATCAATTCTATCACGCATTTTTTGTTTGCACCTTATTTGTTTTAACAAATTTTATTCTGAATTATTTGCAAGGGTGGCTTCTGGTTGGGGAGACTTACTGAAGCTTGTAGCGTTCAGACCGGCCACCGCTTGGGCCGTGCCATTTCAGTTCATCAGGGCATTTATCATCATCATTATTTCATTACATCCTTTTTTACATCATTGCATTACATTACATTACATCATTCATTACATTCATAACATCAACATCATCATATCATGTCATTATCATTAGGACATCAGATCATCAGGGAACAGGACAGGACATCAGATTAGATCATCATCATCAGTAGGCTGTGACCTTATGGCCAAACAGGTCCGCGAAGCACTATGCACGCCGCACAGTGCTGTGGAGCGGTCGCTCCCAGCCAAAGGGACGCTGGCCAGTTACCAGCTGACTTTTCCCAGTCATTTCGGGCTACCAGTACACTCACTCTGGGGACTATTCCGACCGCCTCGGGGTTGACACACGCCCGAGGACAGATGAGGAAAGGCGAGGATAGATCAGATAGATCTATAGATCAGATAGATCAGATAGATCAGATAGGACAGATGAGGGAAAATCAACTTCGCCATCTTCTTGCATCACATTTAAGCGGTAAGTTGCCAAAGGACCAGTTTTGGTACGGCTATCACCAAGAAAACGAGACAAATAAACCAAAAGACAACCGAATGGACCGGTAACCTTCTTAGTTGCACTCGTGCACGATGGGAATACCCCTCACCACAGCCACGGACCTGGGAACGCCGACCGAGGCGCGGCCGAACTGCCGTCCGATGGAGGAACACGCTCATAAAACGATGCCAACATACGATTATGACATTAAGAATGGGTTCTTCATCTAACAGAGCCGTCGTTCATTTGGACCGTGGGCCCCATCGCGCGAGATTATTACCCACCTGTCGGACGCCGGCGCGCCTCTCGCAGGACACACGTGGACGAACCACGGAAGACCAGCTAAGGAACATTCGTACGCCTGTGACTGACATTCGTGCAAGGACTTGGAAAAACCCCGCGTATCAGAATGGGCTTTGTTAAAAATCTACGTCATCATTTCAGCCAGGTTGCGTAACATGTAATTGGTCATCGAACGTGGCTCATTTTGAACTCATTTGGCCCCATGGGCGTAGGAACAGGGAGGGGGGGGCAGGGGGCCATCGCCCCCGCCCACTTTTCAGTGTGGGGGTTAGCAATGTTAACTGCCCCCACCCCCAGTATTCAGATTAAGGTTGCATTTGGCTTACTTTTGCACTACATTAAACATGCATGCCGATTTACCTAGTTCACCAGCCATCTCCCTTAAGTTGCGTTATCTTTTTCACTTGCTCATTGGCCATCACTCAGTGTTACAGCCACAAGGCGACGCCTCACGGCCTGGAGGCTGTAACGCCGGGCGCCGAGGCTGTTGCAGCTACAAATTGCGAGCGCGCATGTTCAAGACCATATTACATAGGTTTCTCATCGGTAATCAGTTCTGATAGGATCCTAAGCATTTTAAGACGAACATGGGTTGCCCACGTCGACAAAAATCAGGAACCCCATTTCATTTACAATCTACGGTCAGGGAGAACCCAATATCTCTGAAGGACACAGAAAGAACACGGAACTGGAGTGTACGTGACAATTATTGGACTACCTGCATTGATCAGGGATGCTGTCGCATCAGTTGTTTCTGTGCTGATCCGGGGCCAACTGTGCAGGTCAGAAGGCCTCCCGTGTCAGGAATGGGAACAAGGTGATATGATGCATCCTTCTAATGGCCCCCGGATTGGCCAGGAGATCCCGCCCCGTGTCACCAGAATGATAGCCAGAAGACACCCGCGATGGGACGGAATGGCCCTTCCTTATGCTGTGTTCTTGACCGGAAACGATAATGTACCCATGGTGTCCTACTCAAGAGGCCCCGTGCCTGGAAGGAAATAAGGGGTTTCATTATTGTTGAACAGAGTGGGGGTCTCATTACTGTTGAATAGGGTGGGTCGAAATGAGCTTAAAGAAAACAAGCAGGGTCATGCCATGTTTGCCTGAGGACGTTCATTTTTTCAGAATGCATTATTGAAACAAATTACATCAAAAGGCTTTGAACATGCCCGCCCGCAACCACGAGAGCAAGGACAAGGATGGTCTGGGCTGCAACTACCGTAAAACCGAAAGGTTACGGCCACTGCAAGTGCCACCAGACGGTGGGCGCCGTGTTAATGTCTTCTGGATAAATGAATAGCTGCAAAAACACGAAAAACAGACATTCTACCTTCACTCTTTCCAGTTCAACCGCTAGATTCCAGCCCCACTTCGCGACGCTTCAAGTGCAAGTTCTTTCTTTTCATTAGCGTAAAAATTGCACACGTGAAATATGCGCTCAGACTGCCCTCTAAATGTAAGATCTGATGTCCTGAAGCGTTCCAGGATCCTTTTTTCACAAGCGTCGTCATTTTCGTCCACCCGTTGGCCATAACCGCCTGGTGTCGGGTTTTTGTTGCTAAGATTTGCGGGCGCGCATGTTAAAAAAACACGTTACATGAATTGTATCACGAATCGATTCTGACTGAATGGTGAACATTTTCGAACAAACATGGCTTAGCCACGTTAATACACATTGTTGACTACTGGACCTGCAATCAAATTTTCATCTTCAATTTGGATCAAACATATTGATTTACAATCTACCTGCGCGACATCCTCAATTTCTGTATAACCCAGATAGAAAATTACAAAGGTTCTGAATTCTATCGATTAGAGTCAACTAACCATTGTAAATTAAGAGCGGTGGTGATTTATTCTATGCAGTCGTTCAACGCTGATTTCTGCAGCTTATTGACCTCCAAATACGAACAGATTTGAGCTCACGGTAGCTCCTGGTTTCTGTTCTGCTTACGAGGTAAAGACAGCAATGAAACGTAGAAAACCGTGTCACTTGTTAACAAGTAAGCTATATCCGGGGATATTTGGGAGGATCACCATAAGATCGGCTTTTGTCAACCTTGTGTTCTCCCTTGGTAAGGCCCTGGCTACGCCCCTGCCTTCCATATATAACGACAGTCAATTGGCTCTTAATCAATGTTGTGCAAGGTACGATAGCGAAATCAATGACGCGCTGAGGAGCATATTTACTGAGCAGGGAAGTTGCGTTGTCTAATGCAGTCTTCTCTACTTAGAAACATACAAATGGCTACGAGTCAGCTTGTTTTTATCTCATGCTTACTTTAGCATCTAAAAGTATCGAACATTCCTTTTTTATTTTTTTTCAGTACTTCAGCAAAATAGCACGAGTCCTCAGCAATACTCCGCCGCCACTGGCCGACTACACGTCCTCAATAATGCTCAGCCGCCTCCTGCCGCTCCAATTTCCTCAACACTACTCGCCACCACTGGCCGACCAGATTTCTTCAGCAATACTCAGTCACCACTGACAGACCGGATGCCAATACACTCCGACCGGGCATCCGGTCTGAACACTGGGGTCGTAAGCATCGTATCGCGCGGAGCCTGTTGCTCTGAACACGGCATCTACGCCTGTGCTTTTATTCCGCGCATGGAACATCAGCGACCAATTCCATCTAGCTGCCTTGGACATCCAGCCAGTTAAAACGCAAGTCATGTCAATTTGAGTCCAGGCATACCAACGAGCGGATGCAATGCGACCATGGTCTAGTGCCTGAACGTGTTGACTTTATGGGACTGTTATTTGGCGGTCAGGAAGGGATATGAAGACTTTCTAACGAGAATGCAAGAAACCGGGGGTGGGGGTGGGGGTGGGGGGTGGGGGTGGGAAGGGGAGCACTGAATGCCAAGCCAATCGCCCCTAACTTGGAAGAAGTTCTGTTGAGGGCCCGTTCTAGTATGTTAACGGCCACTTCTCAACTAAAATGGATGGTGTAGGCCTGTAAAAGTTCATTCTGATCTGTCGAGCGCGCATTCTGGTCCATTTAAAATATATTCTGAACAAAATAGGACATTTTTCTGTCTGTAGACAGCCCATTGTGACCTGTGAAAGACCCGTGATTAACACGCGCCCGGTTGGCCGGCCGGATACCCTTCGCTCGAATGGGGGTCAATTTGACCCCGCTGAGATCGCAGAAAAGAAGAGAGCTAGAGACATGAAATCCGCGGAGTGAGTGTGCACGTGAACTCACTGAGGTCAAATTTGGGTTTTCTAGGTCATGACCTTGGGGTCAAATAAGGTTAAGTAAGGCCAAATTCCAGGTTTGTCTCCAAAGGGCCTCCAGAACCTAGATACTGCTTTTAAGCAAAAGGTCACAAGCTCATTTAGTCAGTGACCTTGTTAAACCTGTTGGACGTCATGTGACTATATTCCTTCAAGACTGCTCCAAGTTTTGTATTTTAATAAGCGACAAAAGTTACGCTTGGCAGTACGTTCCTAAAACAAAATATCGACCTAGGTCATCTTAGGTCAATGACCTATTCTGCCCTCCAAGATGTCCATGGAAGATGTATAATACGATTTCTGCTATCAATAAATTCGAAATGAGCACCAGAAGCCATCACTTACAGCAAGCCCTAGAGTAATATGGCAGTTCGGTTTTGACCTTGGTCTAACCTTCATACCCTGACCTGAGGTCAACGTAATTTGCTCATTCAATATTTGTATTGCCTGGAAAGGCATCTCAGAGATGTATGGCGTCGTCTAGCACTCCGTTGTTGCATTAAATTGAACGACTCCCTAGAAATTGCCTTCGCTGAAACTATGGCCTG